TATATAAATGCAATCCATTATTATTATTATTATTATTATTATTATTATTATTATTATTATTATTAAGCAGAGAAGCCCAGACCTCCTTCTCCCCAGACACTTTCTCCAGCATGTCCTGGGTCTGCCCTGGGACCTCCACCCAGTGGGACATGCCCAGAATACCTCACCCAGGAGGCACCCAGGAGGCGTCCTTGTCAGATGCCCGAACCACCTTAACTGGCTCATTTTGATGTGGAAGCATAGCGGCTCTACTTTGAACCCCTCCCGGATGGCTGACCGCAATCTTGTTCTTTCACTACCCAAAGCTCATGTCCTTAGGTGAAGGTGGGGATGTAGATCGGCCGGTAAATTGAGAGCTTGGCTTTTACACTCAGCTCTCTCTTCAGCACAACAGACCGGTACAGCGTCCGCATCACTGCAGCCAATCCATCTGTCGATCTCCCCTCACTTGTGAACAAGACCCGAGATACTTAAACTCCTCCACTTGGGGCAGTAACTTGTCCGTTACCCAGAATGGGCACTCTACCCTTTCCCAGCTAAGGACCACGGCCTCAGACTTGGGTGTCCTGATTCTCATTCCTGCCGCATCGCACTCAGCTGCCACAAGAACGAATGAATGAGCTCAAAGGAATTATTATGGACAAGTGATTTTAATCCAAAATGTCAGCACTAACAAACAAGAAATACGCTGTGCTGTTATTGTCTTTTGTGTGTGTGTGTGTGTGTAGGTAGGCCGAAAAGCACTGCACTGGGCAGCAGGAGCTGGGAATGAACAGGCTTTGCGTCTCCTACTGGAGCATGATATGGACATTAATGAGACTGACAGTGTAAGTAAACTTGAACTGATACAAGAACAATTTCTCACTTCCTTAGTTACAAAATTCCTTTGTAAGTTCGGGGGGAAGCTGAAAGGGGATTGTATTCTGTTACAGATGTGGATAAAGACAGCGGCACACACCTGTTCCTGTTACAGTTTGGTTCGGTGCATTCATAGTTGGAACATTGTGGGGTTGTCGGCATAGGCTAGTCTGTGCATGCATGCAGATGTTGCGCTCATGCGGACCCTACTAGTCTCGCAAACGTGGTAACAATAACACGCCCATAACACCATTCCTTGATATGGGGAATAACTCACTGTGGATTTGTATTGTTGCTGAAGTTATTTTACCCTGGGTTTTGCTGTCAGTCTCATACATCTACCACACTAATTAACACTAATTAAATTGATATTTAGTTCATAATGGGTAGTGACATTTTTAGAATAGTTAGAATTATAGCTAGTAG